GGACTTCTTGTGCCTAAAAACAGAACTTTGGAGGTTAAAAAGTAAATAAATTGGGACAGAGTGCAAAAGTAATAATGGTAGGGAATTGAGCATGCATTTTAGCCTAATAAGAAATATTCCTTTTATTCTCCATTACTTCAGTAGGAGTTTTATGGCATAATATGTATCATTCAAATGCAATACTATTTTCACACCTAAACGGCCAAGTTTGACTTCCGCAATGGAGGTTTCCATTAATAATTTCTTTATTATTACTTTACTTAATTTACAAAAAAAAAAAAAACGAAAATCCCATTGGCCACTATGATCTGAAAACCTATTTAAACTTTTTTAAGCAAAATAATCTATACACTGGTTAGGAGAGATTTTCACTTGGCCATAAAACACAATAGAGTCATGCAATTTTGTGCCAAGGGAATCATCTTTGGAAGTTACCTAACAGCAAGAGTGCAAACATTTTATTGTTCAGTGATCTGAGAAAGTTGTGTGATTTGCCCTATATACAATAACAGTTTGTTTTATTAGTTCTCTTTTTAATTTTAAAAAAAAAATGATAATATATAAGTAGAAACTAGGTGCAAGCAGTCATTATTATATATTAAATCCCAAATCTAATGGAAAACTGAATGTAAAGGGCAAATAACTAAGTATTTTTTTCTTCATCGATTAGTTGATTGCTTCCAAAATTGAAGATAAGAAAGGAAACAATTATGGCAAGGCGGTGTTCCTCAACTAGCACCCTGCCTTTCTTCATTCAAAATATCAGATAACTTCACAGAATCTGGTGTGGATGCTAGGCAAGGAGTCAGATTTATTCAATTTTCATATTCCAGGATTACTGTGACAAAATATAATTTACATGGCATGATATTCATTTCTTTCACATGAAATAATTAATGCCACCACTAAAGAAAGAGAGAACAACTTATTTTCTTAGAAAACACTTTTATGCTACCAAAATTGTAGTTCAAAATCGAGATTTAAATACTATAATCCCATTATACCAAGTCAAATCACAAAATAAGAATACAGTATGCATTATTTCTTAAATTGGCAAACGTACTAATATATTAATATAGAAGGAAAACATAGAGTAACACAAAAGTTGAAGGCTTTACCGCTCCAGGACCTTCTGTGCATGGACCCCCTATCAATGCAATAATACGTGCACCAGTTCCCACTGTAGATGCGCCCAGCAACCCCGCAGCCACGCTCAATGCAACTCCGGTACACCTCAACGCCCTATTGCCTGGTGCCACAGGCCACTGATCTGTCCCCAACTCATCCAACAACTACAAAACAAGACATAAAAAGCAATTAATGATCAATCGCCCAGTGTTCAGCAGCTCTCCGAAGAAAATAAGCTATCTGGAACACAAAAATAAAAAATAAAAATTTTCTGCCAATCAAAAACATTTCTGCATAAAATGAGTTTGGATGCAATTCACATTCCAAATCCAAACAAAAATAATGAGCATCAAATGCACGGATAAAAAAGTATTTTATCTCGAATTTCAATTCAGTATAGGATTACCGAATTGAGAGTGTATTCACATTCAGAAGCTGGCAACAAAAACCGGTTAATTCCCGTATTAACAGCCCCTGCGGTGGGGCTTAGTTGGCCTCCGGGCTTCTGAACACCTGTCCCAGCCCGCCTGCCACCAGCAGAGCTAAGCCCCAACTGCTCCAAGACTTGATCTTTAGACAACTCCTTTGATCCCCTAAATACATAAACCTTTGACATCTCCAAGAACCCTAGCTCATGAAGTTGCACCTGCGTGCCATATGAAATGAACCCGACCATCGCATTGTCCGGAAGCATCCCAATAGCCCGTTTCAATGCAGATTTTGCAAAATCCAGCTCCTCTTCAATCACACACGTATCGATAACAAAAAGATAGATTGGCGTGGTTGGAATAACAGGAACAGGATTATAATTCTGGGGGTTTTGCGGGAAATTGGGGATGGTGTATTCAATGGAAGAGAAATTTGGATACAATTCCGCGGGTAAATTAGTCTGTGAAATGGAGTTGTAATGTTGCGGGAAATGGTTCCGCTGGAAGCAAAAAGGGCAGATCCATAAAAGGGCAGTGAAATCAACACGGCAAAATGGATTCAGGACAGATGAACACGACTTGCAACGTAGGGGAATGTATGGGAGGACGTGTAGATCGACGTGGGGGCGGATCGGCTGGATCGAGGCGGCGATCGGGATAACACACTTGGAAGCCTCGACCTTTGTACGTGGCCAGTTGTTCCACGTCATCCGTATGCCCTCGATTCCCTCAGGATCGGTCTGGACTAGCTCCGGCGCCGCCATGGATGATTGATTGATTGATACAACAAATGGGGATCAAAATTGATGAGCTTGAATTGGGGGATTTTTTGAATTGGGGTTTTTGGAATGGAAATTTGAGCGAGCGACCCCGAGAGAGGTGAATGGGAATTGGCAGG